AATCGTATCCAAAAAAAAAATCAAAATTGAAAATCTAGTATCTTATCAACACTATTTGGCGGTTCACTTAACTTTTTATCCATAAAATAAAACAAAAATTGAAAAATAGATACAAACTATCTTTCATTCATTTTAAAAAAATATTAAGAATTGCAAGACTGAGTTTTGATTTGAATCAAATCTTTTTGATGTCGTTTATGATGAAAGATGATACTTTAGAAGTCTATCAAGGAGGTGGTAGTGACGAGCACTCAAACGATAACGCTAACAATAGATTTACCTAAGATTATAGTTTTCACGCCTGAAACCAATGACGATGATCTGGCACAACTTCAATTGATACGCATTGAAGATGATGTATTGTCCCCAACAACTTTAATTAACATCCGTTCATGAAGATGAACTTCCTCCACATGATTCTTGTAATTTTGAGTTTACATTTAAAAAGTTACCAAACAATAGAGTTTTCGATGAACATGTACTTATATGTTAATGAATAATTTTAATAAAACCATGAACACGCTTGTCTATATTATTCATTCATGAACTTTTCTTTAAATGAGTTTGAACATTTTATCATATTAAACACTCAAGTCCGGTTCGTGTTCTTATTTTATTGCATGTATGAATATGATGCAAACTTATCATGAATATGACATTTGCAATGTATAAATATTGACTATATTTATCATGAACATAACATGCTCATGAACATATTACAAATCATGAATGTAATTATGAACATTATTTAAAATTTTTATGAATATAGCATAATATGGTCATGAATATTATTTTATTATTACTACAATATGCTATTAGTTATGAACTTTAGATTAATATACCATGAAAAATGCATTTAGCATTCATGAATTTTTTTTCGTTATATAAGTTTGAACATATTAGGAGAAAAATACTATATTTGATTATGAATGTATGAATTTTGTGCATATTTATCATGATATTACATTTGCGATGTATGAATGTTGTATAGTACTTTATTATAACGTATAAACATTGTGCATAGTTGTTACAAATATTGTAAATTAGTTTCATGATTATTAACATCATTAATCATGATACTTATAAATATTGCCATGAATTTTTATTGTATGCAACACAGAATTGTCATGAATTTTTAATATGACTATCATGAACTTTAATACATTGTTTTGCATATTTACACTTTAAGTCATGAACATAATTATTTGAATTATTTGTTTACGTATTTTTGTGTGGTAGTGTGTAATTTTATTTTTATAATATGACTCTAGCTGTAATTGAATTTGTTTCTTGTTAGGAATGTAATTTTTTGTTACCGTAAAATTTGGATACAATTTGAATTGTAGTTACTTTGGATTTGATTAGTTATGAATTTTAAATAAATAAAAAGAATCTGATTGAATAGATAAGGGAGAGATAAAAAATCAAATTGTAGGAGCACGTGTAAATAATAAACTAGTGCACCAAACATTGTGAACTGTGTTGTACGATATAATTACTCAAATACCCTACGATAGAAGAAGGTCCTTTGTTGATTTTTTTCTCCTGCTTTCTTGTCTCTCTCTATTGGAAAAAACCTCTAAGTTTTTGTTACTGAAAAAAAAAAGTGATATAACTTGTTTATTGAAAATTGTGTTGTTGCCAATTGGAAGTTCACTTATTCGTATAGTTTTCTTCTTGTTTTTTCTATCTGATTAGTCTTCCTTCAAAGAAGTTTAGCTCCATCACTATTGGCAGATCTTTTGCTATTCCTTCTTTGAAAGTCTGGAGTTCTCATTTTGAGATTATCGGTTCCCTTTATTTTTCTTTCTTTCTCTTGTGTGTGTTTGTACTCCATCAACAGATCTGAAGAAGGAGATATAGATCTATATATCACCCATCGAAGAGGAATATCAATATAAGTTAAAGTCCAAAGATTGAAAGAAAGGTTACAGATCAGAAACTTCTATACTTGTAAAGACTATCTGTCAGTTCAGTGCAGTTCTAGTTTGATAGATTGTAACTAGAATCTCAATTGTAATAGAACTCTTGTACTGTCTAGTTTTGATAAATTTTTGGTTTAATCTCTATTATTAATAATCCAGTTATACTTCTGGGTCGGTCTATAATTGTGAGGCCTCAAATATGGAGGCCTCTACAAAAGTAGAATTATTAATCTGAATAGTGCTGATTTGGACTTACAAATGCAATAGGCAACTAAAAATGTAGGGGTTAAAATTTAAAGATAATCCAAGTGTATAAGACTTATCTGAAAATATCTAAAATTGATAAAGGCAAGAACTAATAATCATAAAATAGGAGGGGTGGTTAGGATAATATAAAACTTTTGTAAATATCTAATTTGATAAAATAAACCAAAAAGAAAAAAAAAGAATGGATAAATCCTAAACTATTCACACATTAGGAAAGTTACACGTAAATACCCCTCTCACCATTACCCAGTATCCGGAGTGAACGGTAATTTGCAGATTAATTCACCACAATGATTGGTACCAAAAATGGCGTTGGTTGACGAAATTCTCAAGTGGTCGCATAAGTGACAGGTGAATCATAGATCCAGTGTCCGGGTGTAACAGGAAATCCACTCCATTTCTCTAGTCATATTGACTCAGATTGGATTTCTTTTACACTCGTCCTATCCTTTCTATATGTGACTTCTTTGATTTATTCGCTAATGATTATTGTTCTTCTTGTTAAGTGATTTAAATGTTTTATATGTGATTGTGCTATTAATCTACTTGATTATTAATGTTTTAATAGAACCTTATTGGGCTTTAGCTCATTCTATTAATTTTGTTTTCCTTACAGTTAATGATAGCGGGAAAATATGATTCAGTGGCTTAAGTTGTGCTATAAAAGTACTCGTCGGGGTTAAAACTGTTGAAGTGAAATGCTCTTTTAAAGGCATGATCTTAATTTGAGCATGAATGTAATAGTTTAGGAATGAATTGTATAGACTGAACAAATATCAAAATGATTTAATCCTTTATTTGCTTATGGATACCGGACGACTGTTATTGGGTCCTGACGAGAGTGAAGCAGACGCTCGAGCACGGCCTCTTCGTTGTCAATGAAAGAGGTTTGTTTTTGGGGTGTTACAATAATCTTGGGTTATACTATCGAGTCAGACACAGAAAGTCCATGAGCAACGCTCTCCAACGTGCCACACACGAGTCATGCTCCAGGTGAGTTAATATAAAATCATCACAGGTCATCATAGACCCAGAATACCATCACATGCCCAGAGCACCCGGATACCATCTTGAAGGCCCATAAAATCCTATGTGTTTCCACCCTAAAATTAATCGACAATGAGAAGAGTAACACGTAAAATTTATATGTTGATTAAGTTGGGTTAATATTTCCAATATGAGACAAATATTTTTCACTTGTTTTTAGATTTAAAATGTTGTGCGGTCCCTTTGACTCTCCTGATACAAAATCTAGCATGGGCCAGTAGTTTTAAGTTTATTAGTTGTCCCCAAAGAGATTGGGGTATTAGTCCATCCCCCAAAGAAATCAATATAAAATGGCCCAAGATCAAAACAATAAAATCTAGAATTTAGATTATTTAAATTTTACAAATGAAATCATAAATAACTAAATATTATAAAATGCCCCGTGTTATTGCATTTATTCATCAATGCGTTTGCATGAAAATTGGGAAAAAAAAAGGAACATGAATCACCCAAAACACATATTGTGGTTGAGTTCGAACTGGTCTCGGATTAAAGATGGAAAATCGCCCAGTGCCGACTATAGATCGATGTCACGCACAGTTCTGCCGCGGAGTACAGAAAATCTATGATCATAGGTAGACCTAGATAGGTTTGTCCGCAAGTATAAGCACCTATGGCACCTATTACAACATAACCAAATTCATTGAAGTAGAAAACGGTGAATACTTACTTATTTCTATGTAAAAAAATATGTGATACAACTCGATTGTTAGTTAGGGATTAAGCAAACATGATAGGTCGTGATGAACTACCATAAGGAAGATAGAAACAAAATAAAAGGTGTTTAAAAGAAAGAAATACAATAAAAGATTAAAAGAAAATAAACTGTATGGTTGATTGATGATACTTTTCTCTTCACAGGTACCTCTATTTATAGTGTTTGAACAAAACCCTTCTTGCAATATGCTTCCTTAGAGAAGAGGTAGTTTAACCTAATCAATCTCCTTGGAAATAGTAGATTACTCACGATCCAATTTCACAATCGGTTTAGGACTCTTTTTACAATGAGCCTTTATTTTGGTAATACAATATTTTTCCAAATATATCTCCTTAATTACTTGTAATTTTTACTTTTAAAAGAAGAAAGGAATAAAGAGAAATCTTCCTTAAAATTTCAATCAGCCACGTCACCATTTCTGAAACTGTCCTATTCCAAATAGACTTCTACTTCTATTTGCTTATTCTGAAATTGTTTACTGCCAATCAATCCATATTACCTCCAAACAGACCTTAATTAGCTTTTTTGGACTATTTCAATGCCTTCAAACCTGTATTATGTCTATGCAAATTAACCAAAACTTTTGGGCTACTGTTAGCATCACCCATCGGCCCGATTAGTCAAAAATCGGCCTAACACAATATTTTCATAATTTTGTAATGATATAAATCTCCAAAAAAAAAAAAAAATCAAATAAATTTAAAGTTTAAAAGTTAGATTATTAATTTGGGATGAAGAGATTCTAATATTATACCAACTTATACTTACTTTTCTAAAATCAAAGAGTCTTTTAAGTCTTCCCCCTTTTTGTGAACATTCTATTACGAGACAGTAGAAGTTTGCATAATCATTTTTATATTGTTTTTCATAACATCTTTCCCCGTCCAAAATAAATTACAAGCCGAACAACTAAATGTAGTAAACAAAAACATTTGAGAACTGAAAAACTCTTTAATCAAGATTATTAATATAATTAAGCCATATATTTGCACCAAGCAAATTAACACCCCACAAAAAATAAAATAAAAACATGATTGCTAAAATTACTTTCGCATTTGGCCGAACATAAAATAGATAACATTAGAAACATCACGATTGGTTTGATTCAAATCAGTCAAAGGGCTAGGTTCTGGGTGAAAACCATCTTCACAGTCCCGAATCTCGAGTAAGATATCAACTACAGTGCCTTGACCAGCTTCAGATGCACTGTTTCTCGCATGATTTGTAGCATCACGAGTGAAATCTATTACGGACTTGTAATGTGTCTTGCAACTAGTCAAATGCTCATCGCCCGGTTTGGTCTTGAGAAGCTGATCGATTTTTGTGATTTCGTCGTTGGACTTTTTCGTGAGTGAACTAATCATGATTACAGTTAGACCGGAGAGATTGGCATCTTTGGCTTCGGGTATTCCTCTTAGGAATGAGGAACAAACTCCCGGATATGGGGTGTCGTTGCATGTCGTGTCTATTAAATCGCAGGATCCCGATGGAAGAAGCGATATTGCGATAACGATGAAGGAAATGATGGTACAATTTTGAAGGATTTTGGCCATTGGGAAATTATGAGCTTTTGGAATTTGTTGCGACTCATACTTTTTTTTTTTCAATGTTAAAGAGTCATTTTTATAGACAGCAATTCTCATGAATCTTTGCGATTATTAAAAACAAAGTATTAACCATGTATGTATTTTATGGCTTGTAAGTAAAAGATATTTTCCTTGTTAGTTCATTTACTGAAAATCGTCCAATAAGAGCTAATAATAAAAAATTATATATTTGACAACCAACATCGCTCAATGTTTTAACCAAAAGTTAGTCATTTGGTTACGAAATTTCAAGGACAACGAAATCAGTTGATGCTATAAGACAACGAGGACTGAATACTAATTGTGGATATAGTTTAATGAAATATATAATAACTTTCTGAAATTTAATGTTAAAATTTGTTTAGGGAGAACAAAATGCAATTTGCCCTGCTATATTGTGCTTATCGCAAACAAGGAATCCAAGAACACCTATCCTAATCATGGCTTAAATCTTGCCTAGATACCTGAACTGGTTTTCCAGAAGAAGTCGGTATAACTTACGAAACCGGAGTAAGTTAACCTTCCCGCGTCCAAAGTAGAATCAGCCCATAATATTTTTGTAACGAATTATTTTTGCGAATGAAAATAATGTCATTGTGTTAGGCCAAATTAATTTTAAACATACTGTTTTTGTCTTAAAATGATTGTTCAATTTAAATTTTTAATTTTTGTACAATTTAAACTAAAAATGAAAATCAAAATGAACAATTATTTCCGAAAGAAGGAGTATAATTTTTCAGAGTTAAGCGAACACCATATATTTCTTTGTAACATGTCACAGATGAATAAAAAATTCTAGATAAACATGCATTTGATGGTCCAGGGAATGATAAGAAACCTCCAAAAGAGCAGTATTAGGAATTAATCGAATAATAACTCGTTAGATTATCAAAATGTCAAATTCTCACCCTTCATAATAATAACTTTAATAAGGGTATCAAAAGAAACCATTCAGATTAAACTAACCGTGCATGTATTTTAAGATTTGACACAAATATTTTTCCTTTCTTGCACTTTAATAATTGGACCAAACTCAATTATATTCATAACTACAGAAATTTCGGATAGTAATATTTAATTTCTTCCTTTTAAACAACCCTTATCATGTTTTTTTTTTTTCAGGAAAGAAATATATATATACTTCAAATAATTTACTGGAATAATCGTCCCAAGAGCTGTATAATTAGTGAACATAGAATCAGTCCAAATTCCTTGCAAAAAAAATTCTACAAAGTTTAAAGGCTTTTTTATGTTGGCTAAAATAATATCGCAACTAGACACATAAGAGAGATGTGGGTACAACTTTTTAAAGATTATTTCTGACTCAAAAAAATTGTTCATATTAAATTATCAATTTTGTATTAAAAATTACATACAAACTTCAAAATTCGACATGAATTATTGTTTTGAGACAGAACATACGATTGTTATTTTTCTAGTATTTGTATTTCCCTCCCAATCCCAAATCCCAAGGCCCAATTGTTGCATGTTTATACCATATTTTAATAAGTTTCATGTAGGGAAATATGACTTATCTCCAACCTGGAGCCTGGGATTTGGGAAACTAACAAAGGCCTAAGTCATGTTTAAAAATAACAATTTATCTGTTACAAGTTTGAGAAATGGTAGTTTGGACTTTGGAGACTAGGAGAAAACAAACAGAAAACGAGTAAGAACGAAAAGGTAAGAACTTGCGCAATGATTGAAAAATTAAAGATTGAACGATAGTTGTATATACATGTAGATGAAGTAATTAATTTTATTTTTTTGAAAATAATGAAAAATAAATTGTTGATTGTTAATGTTTTTGGAAAGCCTCTATTCTTCTTTCTTTTAAATAAAAATATAGTTTATTAAAAATCGCCTAACAACAATTAATTTCAAAATGATTCATTCAAAAAATGCAATAGTGTACAGTTAGTCATAAAGACTTTATTATGCTTATAATGTTGAGAAACGGGAAACCTACAAAAAAAATCTATTCTACAAAACGATGGAGAATATAATCTTATAACAAGGCCAAGAGGCAGAGTGTTAATCCGCACTGAAGTCTTGCCTAATGGCAGAGGAATTTCTCAGCACTTAATCCCGGTAGTATCAGTCACGTGTAACCTGATCTAAAAAAAAGGGATCATTTTGTAAAAATGATATGTTTAGGCGTTTATTTCACTCTACTGAATCCTTTAGACAGTCTTTCGTACCAACTTTTTATATTTGTTTATTAAAATTATCTTCCATGTCGCTGAAACTGAATGAGTTTGCAACATTTGTATACTCTATCCGTCGCATTTTGATAGTACATTTTATTCTATTATTTTAATTCAACAAAGTGAATCAATAAAATCGGTGAAAAAACGGACTATGAATTTTGTCTTAAATATAAAAAGAAATATGATTTCGTTTATAATTATGGCGACAGAAAGGATATACTAAGATTAAGTTTCTGGGACACTCGGAAAACTATGAATGTAAGATCAACTCTTGGCATTATTATTCAAAATATATAGTTCGTACAAAACAAAACACGAAAAAAACAACAAACTTTTTATTCAACTAAATTGAGCCCTAAAAGGACAAATCAAGTGATTAATAGCTTCTTCATCTGGCTGAACATAGCACGTGTAATTTCAGTAACATCAGAATTGACCTTGCTTAATTCACTCAAAGGATTAGGAATCCCTGATAAAAAAGCATTTTCAGAGTCATGAACACATTTTTTCACATCATACATAACCTGTTCACCAAGCCTATAATCGCCGCTGGTCGCAGCCTCAACCGCATCCATCAACGACGAAATACTCGACGACGGAACCATAAATGTTCCGGCAATCCGTCAAGGGTTGTTTCAGTTCTGGAAACTTTTCCAGAAACTGAACGATCGATTCGATTTCCTTGTATGACTTGTTTTTGAGTGAATCGATCATGGCGATGGTTAGGACACTGAGATTGGCACCCGAGCTTTTCGGGTCGGGTACTAGGATTGTCACACAGAGCTTCGGGAATGGGGTTTTGTTGCATGTGTCTTCAACAAAATCAGCGAATCCCAGTGGAAGAAATGATGTAGCAACAATTAAAATGATTGTGGCACAATTTTGAAAGATTTTGGCCATTTTGTTTTTGAGTTCTAAGGGAATAAATGGTCTTCGTTTCGAGCTTTCGAGTTTCAAATCTATTTTTATATTAACAATTCGAGAACCCATTTGGTATGCTATATTATAAAACGTTTTAAGGTTTTTGTTTTAATTAAAAAGACATCTTAGATTAAACCTAGGACGAAATCAAAATACCTTATAATAAATACCGAAAGGAGTACTAAGAACTAATTAAGTTTGTCTCTCGTAAAATATATGATCCCATTTCAAACTTATTAACATGGAGGGTAACAACTAAAAAAAAAAAAAGTGCAATTCGCAGGTTATAGCAGTTCTATGCTTTATTTTGTGCTGTTAATATATAATTCGTGAATTTAATTCAACTAGTTTCAAATTCTTTTCCCCAAAGCTCATAAACAACCACGCTTAATTGTCCAAGAAGCATCTTTGAACCATATAAAAATAAAACTTTCTTACTTATCACTGAGACTCCCATTAAAAAAAAAAGCAAGTGAACATATTATACATCTTTTTTTCTTTTTCCTTTTTTTGATTTTTACAAAAATACATAGCATATAACTTCACAAATATGAGAATTAATGGTATCGATAGGTTGTAAAGGAGAAGGGTGCGCTAGTAGAGGAGAACCTCCACTAACGTCAACATGATGGCACAATATATTTTGACGAATTTTGGCTATTGTTATATCCAAATAGAGAGTGTTAATATTTGCTGCACTAAAAACCAAGATACAGTAATTGTACCCAATAATTTTTCTAGAATTGGTAGTGATTGATTAATTTTAACTTGGAGAGTCATTTCTAACTTCCATTAATGTAAAACGTCATGATTAGTTTGGTGTCAAGGTCGAATAATGAATCATTGCTAGCTCTATATATAAACACTTGAATCTCCAAAGAACAACATAAACGAAAATGATTGAGCGTCAAATTATAGCCTTGATCAAGACAACAATCAAAGGGAACAAAAAAATACACACAAAGGATTGCACCAACAGATTTCTACAATCTACACCCCCAAAAAAAAAAATAAAAAAGGAGGAGGAGGAGAAGAAACATTTAATTTTTTACTTTCTTTTTTTACTCATAGAAGGAAAAACCAAGTGAATGAAATTACTTCTCCATCATAAGGTTGAACATAAAAAAGATAATGGAAGCAACATTAATATTCATCACATTCATAGAATCCAAAGGAGAAGGGTATTTAAAACGATGTTCACAGTCGGCAACACCCTTAATGATTGTATATTTCGCAACCTCTTGGCCAAATCCAGGTTCATTATTCCTTGCATAATTCGTGGCTTTAATAACGCCGGTCATAATGTAATCGAAAAGAACCCGGCAATCCGTCAAGGGCTCTTGTATATCCGGACATATCTTCAGGAGTCGTTCGATCTCCGCGATTTCGGCGTTGCACTTGTTGGTGAGTGCATCAAACATGATTAGGGTTAGACCAGTTATATTGGCATCCTTGCTTCTTGGGTCTTGCCTTAAGATAGAGATACAAAGATCCTCATCTTGAGTTCTGTTACATGTGTCTTCTATGAAATCGGAGAATCCTATCGGAAAAAATGATGCCAGGATGAAAATGATGATGGCACAATTCTGAAGGATTTTGGCCATTGTTAATTAGAAACCTTCCTTCGAATTTGTATAGAGACTGGTGGTGACTGGTTCTGAATTCCAGACCTATTCTTAATAGCAATTCTCATAAAGTTGTGAACCAGATCAAGTTAAAATGACTATTTTGTGGTCTACAGTACCTTCAATGCATGTGAAGTTAAAATGACTATTGTCGGCGTACCTGGCTAGCTACCGACCTTTGTATAAATTTTTTTCTGTTTTTTTTTTTCGTAATCGGATTACAAAAATTTAGTGAAACTGTAAATTAGAGTATGGCTGTTGTAACCTCAAAAAAAATAAAATAAATAAATACATAAAAACTGATAAAAATAGATAAGTGGATCATGATTGTGGAGTTGGGGGTGAATCTCTGTCGACGAAAATGCCCAACGATTGAAACTTTATATTCCACCATTTTTTTTTCCTTGCTCATTTCCCTGCTTCTTTTCTTTGTTTTTTTGGGTTTTTGTTTTTTCTTTTTGTGGTTTACAGTGGCATATTCTCTTCAAAGCTCCTTTTCATTCATGGATTAATCTGCATACTACATAACTTATTCTGATTTGATTTATGGCGTGAAGCTAACCAATCTTTTTTGTCCCCTCAAAATCATAAACAATGCAACTCTGGGCTCCCACAAAGAAACTACTTTGGGTTTCCAAAACAAGCAGTGAATCTGTTTGTTTCTTTTTTCTCATGTTTTTTTATAATAATATAATAATATTTATCTCATTCTCACATATCTTTTTACATTTTCAATACACCTTTTTACATTCTCAATACAAAAAACATCTAAAAATACACACTAAAAAAACGAAACAAACAGACCCAAAATCTTAAATAATTTGAATACCGGCAAGAGTACTGATAGTGAATGGCGGGAAGATGAAGTTGAACTACTGGATAATGGAAGTTTTGATGTTCCACTCTTCCTCATATCAATTAGTTATTGCTCTATTCGTATTCAAGATGAATTATTAACTAAGAAGACGACAGTACTATAGTAAAAAAATATCCCTAACTCTAAGAAAAAAAATTTCCTTGAAATTAATATTGCACAAACTTAAAGAGATTAATAGAGAAAAAAGGTAGAAATTAATCATGCATGAGAAAATTTAAAGATGCCCGCGGATTGAAATTTTGGTTGGTTGCTGCAGTTTCAAAATATGAGGTCTCAAACGACAAAGTTATGCTCAGTTACTCGTGTTTATCCTTGTATATGTCGATCAGGAAAAAACAAAGAAAGAAAGAAATAGTTTTTGTATCAAACGAAACAATAGCAAATTTTTCCTTCACAAAGAATAAAAAAAGAAGAATAAGAAAATAATTTAGTTGATTTTGTTGATAAGACTTTTCATTTCGTATTATTTGGTTTGTTTTGCTATAGGTAAGAAAAATATTTAATGGCCACCATCCGGCATGAAAGTTCTAATTTGACCACTGTAATATATTTCATCTTGAATGTTTCACATAGCATATAGTTAACAATAACTCCAAAGAATTATATTTCTTTTTACAAATCGATATTCATTTCTATGAAAAAGGATAACAAAGAAAAATAGATAACTAACTAAGCTGATTTATTCATCAACATTGTGCAACCTTCAAGAGATGAATACCCCAATAACTTCTTTTGTCTCGAAATAATTAATGTTCAGTTTAAATTTTTATTTATAATTCAAGTAGTATTAAAATTAAAAATTCAAAATAAACAATAATTTTAGAATAGAAGAAATATAATCGTCATAAATCTTTAAAAAAAAAAATTCAAAAGAACTGGCATGATGACTTAGGACTTAGGAGTAAGATGTGAATTGTAGTTGAGGTAGATTTAGTCGTTTCTAATTCTCTGGTATGGTTCGCGATGTGTCTCCAATTTTTTATTATCATTGAAATTTTTGTACTACTATTTTCAAGGGTGCAACATTGTACACTTTTTTTTTTCAAACGATAATCATATATTAAATAAAATGAAAAGCAATACAATCACAAGAGTTGGGTTATAACAACCTACGATTGAGCTATTACAATCCGTCTTTCTCGCTATATCTAACCACAGAATCAGTGATAATCCTAAATCTGTGTATAGAGTTAGATCAAACTAATTTGACAGATTATAGCAATATCACTGATTACAGAGAAGAATTGCTAAAATTTATACAGAGATGAATAGACACTGTATTCCAACAAAGGATAATCAGCCTAAAATCTAACAAGACTAAAACTGTAAATCTAACTCTGAATCTCAGATCTATTTGTGCCTAGAAATCCCCAGATATGTCGGCATTTCATCCGATGTTAATTTTTAAATCTCGTGTTTTTCATCATCTACTACAATAAACTCTAGATCCGACTTCTTTCCATCAGATCTGTCGAAAAACTACTACTTAAAGCATACGAAATTAAAAAAACCGAGATCTCTCAACTAAGAATCAAAACTTCCAAGAAATGGAAGAAATGGTTCAAAATAAAAAAAGTCTCGTTTACTCAAGTATTTCCAAATCCCAAGGACCTTCTAGTCCATGCGCATCTTTGAATTTTGAGGTCTGATATTGCTTTCAAATTGTGCTAAACAGTGATGATGAGATGGCTCTTTTGCTTTTGTTACGCTAAAAATGACATGTGTATGCTTTTTCCTCTCCTCTCCTCTCCTATAAATAAATCTGTCTCCAAAATACGTGTGCAAAATTCCATAACGAATTTTGAACCTACCTTAATATAAAAATTGATGCCAAGCCTCAATAATTTGAAATTAATTACATTAACTTACGTATCTGACTCTGAGGTAGGTGGGATAATGAGAGCAACATTCATGTGTTTTGAGATTTTTGAACAATAACCAAAAAGAAAAGAAATACAGTAGTACTAATTTGCATTACTTTGAAGATCATGCACAAAAGCAAATCGAGACATGATACATATATTTGGACTGTTGACTCATACAGCAAACATGACCTGTTTATTTATTCTTTCCGTCCCAAAATCAGAATCGGTATTGGTGAACAAAAAAATTGTACAACAATAATCCGCACCCCTAATTTTTGGCCGGAGTCTATAACTTAAGGTAATAAAAAGTTTCACTAACGATGTTAGATACAAGGAGAAAAGAAACAATAGATAAGCTAAATTAAAAACCGAGGACGATGAGATTATCAATAATGCAGTACATAAACATTGTACTCAACAGTTGCATCGCCGGAATTCATATCGAACCATTGAGTCCTTGCCTGAGCATATCCACGAGCAAACCGGAATAGCCCACTTCCTCCGATCACCGGCATCTCCCTCACCGTATGCAACACCGGATTCCGGCCCATCACGGTGATCGTGCTCCCGTTATACTTCCCTTCAGTAAAAGCCAAATTCATGGTCATCAACAACCCAATCTCTTCTTGCGAAGCAGAGGCATAGATCCCTTGAGCCCTTCCGACCAATTTGGAACCCAATTCGGGACCCAAAGTTAAGGGATTGTCCATCATCCTCATCATCCCAAAACCATTCGCCATCAATCTCGGCGGCGAGACGATAGTCACCGCAGATGGGTTCTGCCCGGTGAGGATATCGTGCCAGTAGAACTTGAAATGGCTGAGCTTCTCTCTTTTCATCCTCTGCCTCGGGTTATGATCAACTGATTGGAGAAATTTGTATTCTTCGCCGTCATCGTCGTCGTTGTTGTGATGCGTTGCCTGGATTTGAAACATTAAGATTTGGGAAAGGATCAAGATGAAGATGGAACACAAAACTGGTTTAGTAGCCATGGAAGAAAACAGGGGATTTTTGCTCAATTGACTGATTGGTTTACTTTCTTCTAGCTAGCTGAGTGAGCAGTATAAAGTCTATAACAAAAGTTAAAAGTGTATGAGAATTTGGGAAAGTGATGGTGTATATATATGCTATATAGAGGGAAGAGATGACGTTCTTCCCATTGCAGTGGAATTTGGGTGGAAAAAAGGTTGGTCGTCGGTGGGTCATCCTTTGCATCAATTCTTCCAATTCTCAAAAAAACAAATGATTGACTGGTTGGAGTAAAATGGTACATGGAACATGACATGGTTAGCGTATTTTACCTGCTAAATGTTTTGAAATAAATGTTACCAACTAGTAGTTAATTATATTAGTAGAGGCGAATACATAAGATCTTACACGACTCGATTCGTCCCCATGAAAAATCAGGTCTTAATTAGGTCGTAATGTATCAGTAATTGTTTATTCTCGTCGTGTCATTATATTGTCTGTGTAATTTCTTAATATAACTCCCTTGAAATAACAATATTTTTTTTAAAAAAAAATCTAAATAGAGTGGTGCATGGGCTTCTTTTGACATGAATTCACAAACCTTTGTTTTTATATTTCAAAAAGGGAGCAGAAAATAGAAATGTCGCTTATAGTTGTCATACAAAGGAGGTAAACAACTATTGCAATATGGTATTGGAATATATATTTAATTGTCATGCCAACAATGCAACTCTTAAACTAACTAATAAAATGGAAATGAAGTTTATGGCGATTCTGATTTGATAATTAGTTGTGGAATACACAGTTAGCGTCGCAGTACAACATATTTAATTGTACTAAGAATCGTTGCAATATATAGGATTTTGATTTGGGGTTGGTTTAGCCTTTTAGGTGAAAGTTTTTCTTATATAAAGAATCCCCAAGCGGTTCAAAATCGCATCACAGTTTTATCTTCAACACTGAAAGCTTGAGTTTTGTATTCATTTTTGTTCTTTCAAAGTCTCCAATTATTACAAAATTTTACATTAAAAGTATTTTCTTAGTGAGGCTCTATCTGTCTCTAATCAATTTGCTAAAGTAATTGTTCTCATTGGTAACATCAATTCGTTGGTGCATTAGTTTATCTTCAGCCTTTGATTAACTAGCCACCTATTTAATTAGGACCTGCCAAAAAACTTACAGCTCGACCCTATTACTTGGCTTTTTGGTTAAGCAACAACAGCAAAACATTGCTCATTGTCTGCCCGCACTACTTTGCTTGCTTTTCTTTCACCTCACCTTAAATTTTACCTTCGCTCTTTTTAAACTAAAACAATACAATATACAGAGTATAAAACAAATTATTCTTTTAAAAAAAGAAAATGCTCCTCCAGTCCTTATTATAAGATAACAATTTATTATCAATTCTTTTCAATATATTCTTCTAATTGAAAATAAAAGCTTAAAAATATTTCATTCAAGGTTTTATCTTTAATTAGAGAATATATTAAATAATACTTAGAACAAATTAAAATATCTTATAATAAGAACCGAAGTAGTACAATATAAACTACATAGAAATATTGTAGCATCAACTTTTTTCTTATAAACTCTGAAAATCGTACACTCCGGTACGCTTGCAGACGACCGACCAATTTGCAAATTTCTGAATCCTCAAACTGAATCTGAAAGAGGCAATGATCCTTGCAGTCATTTCTCCATTCCAAATACTATCAGTCAGAGTGATTGTTTCATATCTTTTCAAATAAATCTATTTACATTTTCAACAAACTTTTTTATACTTTCCATTGAAAAATACTAAAAAGTTTACTTCCAAACAAAACAGTGAATTTTTCTTTTCATTTACCTTTTCTTTTAGGAAGATGTTATTAAGCGTTTATGAGTTCGGTGTGCTAAAAACAAAATAATGTCACAGACCAAGAAATTGGAGGTTAGAATAAGTAACCAACTCGCATGGTCGAGATTATGTGTATAATAAAGACGTTACATATAAGATTATGATTTTTTACTTTTACTTTGTGTGCGACAAATATATTTGTGACTTTTGAATCACAAATGAACACGCGTACTTAATATTGATGGACACTTTCTCTATTAATGTGAACTAGATGCTTGACCCGGACAGATGCCCAGACGCCCCCTCTCAATTATTATTTTATTAAAATCTAATTGAATTACTATTTCTTGAGGAATTAATTTGGTCGTATATATCATTTATGCTATGGTTTGGGGCTTAAAAAAATATACCTATAAATCTGAGGTTATAAGGGAATAATAAATAATTAGTTTATAAGGCATTATTCTTAATTGCTGGATTTAGGTATTTTTATTTTTGTTTATATTAAGCTTGCAAAACTATACGATTGGACATTTGAATTTGAATTAATATATCCATTCGTTTGAAATGTAACTGATCCTTATTTGTAGTAAAACATGTGTTTTTTTAAAAAAAAAATTATATAGCTTCTAATTAAAAGAGACTTACACGTGGCAAAAAAACTTCTGAAATCTGAAATATGGTGCATTGGAGCCAAAACAGATGCATACGTAGTTGCTACATAAGCTTCATGTCTTCTGCTTTAATAGGGTAAAAGGATTACTCCCTCCATTCCATAATTATTGTCCAGTTTGGATTTTCATTTCTAGTTTAAAAATTGTGCTAAAAGTGAAATCTCAAACTGCACAATAATTTTGGGATATAGGGAGTATTTTTCTGAAACATACTAATACTCCCTCCGTCCCACAAAAATAGTCCACATTGAGTTTTGAATTTTGTACTGTTTTTATTATAAATTTGAAAACTTAATATGGATTATTTTTTTGGGATGGAGGTAGTAATATACTCCCTCCATCCCATAATTATTGTCCAGTTTTACTAAAATGAAAGATTTTATTTTTGGTCAAACTTAACTATATTTTACTTTAAACAACCGGATATACCCCAACATAAGTAATTGTTTAACCACTAAGATTTTATGGATAATGTTTTTTACTAAGGACAAATGTGTAACTTGATCCATAAAAAATCAAATTGGACAATAATTTTGGGACAAAATTTTTTGAGCAAAGTGGACAATAATTATGGGACGGAGGGAGTATATAGTAATTGTATATGAGATCCAAGCCTAGTTCAACAACTCGGCCCATTATAAAGCTCATAATCACTAATGGGCTTTTCCTTAGTAAATAAAAGAAATGGACTGAAACTTTGTTACCCTAATCATTTTATACGTTCTTTCGAGTTTCGACGCTTCTGTTTCACGCAGCCACTCTTTCATAAGAGTATAAATTAAAAATTAGGAAATTTACAGAAAAAGAAAATAATTAACAACTTTTTGGGGATTCGGGGAAAAAGGCAGACATGGCTGCTGATTTACAGTTGCCACCTGGGTTCCGATTTCACCCAACCGATGAAGAACTTCTGAATCATTATTTACGCCGGAAATGTGCAAACCAGTCGATTGCTGCCCCAATTATTGCTGACATCGATCTCTACAAGTACGACCCTTGGGAATTACCGGGGCTGGCTTTGTACGGTGAAAAGGAATGGTATTTCTTCTCTCATCGGGACCGGAAGTATCCCAACGGTTCACGGCCGAATAGGGCCGCCGGAACCGGATATTGGAAGGCGACGGGAGCCCAGAAGCCGATTCCGAAGGGGAACCCTAATAACCCACTTGGAACTAAAGGGTCGTTGGTTTTCTATGCCGGGAAACCTCCAAAGGGGGAGAAGACTAATTGGATTATGCATGAATACATTTTGGCCGGCGCCGATCGTACTGCTCGGAAAAACGATAATAATAATCTCCGGTTGGATGATTGGGTGCTCTGCCGCGTGTACAACAGAAAGGGTAAAATTGAAAAGCCGCAAGTGCCGATTGAAGAGGATGAGAAGCCATTAATGGTGGCGCCACCCTTACCGGAGGCGGCGCCGCCGGCTGCGGCGGCTATTTACGCCGGCGCCGCGGATTACATGTGCTTTGACCCGGTTGATTTGGTGACTAAGCTATATACTGGTTCGAGTTGTTCAGAGCATGTGGTTTCCCCTGAATTTTCATCTAATTGCGAGGTTAAGAGCGAGCCGGAGCTGAGCGATTGGGAGAAATTTGCCCTGAATTTGCCGTTTAATTCTGATGACCCGGCGGTTGTGGATTAAGTTATAAGCGGAAGAAATACGGTATATATATGGTAACAATCAGAAGAACTCGATTGGTTTTGGCTTAAGGTCTTTTACATATTTTGTTTCTACATAACCCTTTTTTAAATAGAACAGAGAAAATTGGTTGTGTGCTTAAGTACTTCTTAGGTCTACGATGTTTTGTTTCTACCGAACCAGTAGAGCTAAATAGCTAATTTAGGTCACGTATGATATGGCTAATCCCCATCAGGGAGAACTAGGAATATGGAAAAGAGAAACTCCTCTAGCTTTAGGAGACCTATGTTCATTCTGGACTTTTTCATTATGTCTAAAAGAAACAAACAATGTGATTTGTCTGTGGAACTCATTATGTTGCATTGTCGTGGTTATTTTAATACTCTTCCCATCCTAAAAAAATTGTCACACACTGAATTTACTGTTTTTAGTACAAATCTTAACCGACTATTTTTATTTATAATGTGCGTAGATGTTATATTGTATTGTCGTGTCTACTTCCTAAATTTTGATCCCGTGCACATATAGGAGTGTGCTAAATGTCTTTGAAACACATTTTTTTTTCATCACTTGGCTTATGAGTAACTGTAGTGGAAGAAGATTCGTGAGTTTCTGCTTCTGTACGTAGCGGGACGTTAAAAGTCATTCGCGCTGTATGTTTTTGGCATAAGAAAACCAAAATGGAGCGGTTACACTTTCCGCAATAAGTTATACGCAATATGAATTGAAAGATCAATCATATACAGTTTGAAATACTTATTAGTCACAATTACGTTTTTATACATCTACGGCTTCTTGTTCCAATTGGATCATATAGTCACTGTCACATCGTGCCCTTTGCAGAAAGTAGGAAGAGATTGAGTTATTGCTGTCAATTCGATCGAGTATTTATATTTTAGTTTGGCCGCGGTTCGTTCTTTTCTAGATCGACGTCTGTACGTAGACAAAAGTTGAGCCAGAAGACATTCGCTACTTTTATTATGTGATTATATCTCTTCTTTAACTGATGCAACAACAAACTGAATAAAGTAGATGCGAATAATCTCAAGTGCTGCGAAACTGTAAAGCAATTTTCATAAAAAGAAGATGCCATTATGAATCACCCAAAAAGAAATAAAGGGTGGAATATTCTCTTCATAATGGAAAGAAGAACAAAAACTAACAAATAATCCAAGCGTGTGGAAAAAAAAAGTTTGGAACTTTTGGATTGGAAAATAGGTAATGAGTTAAAAAGGAAGATGAAAAATGAAAATAATAGGAATTTTGGCAGTACTATTTATAGAACGTGAATAAATCGGCCAAGAAACCAGAATTTGGAGTACTCATAATAAGATGTTTATAAATAAAATGATTACCAACGATGTACATCGCAACCTAGCTATTTATTTATTGATCGATTCCAGAAGCGGAAACTTCAACAAAAAGTAACCGACCTAACCATATTCAATCCCACTACTACACAAGTGTCATCAGTTAATTTTCCACCTCAATTATATAGATTGAGGCTATGCTTGTTTGTTTTCTGGTTGGTTTTTTCAGAATTTTTAATTAATATTTGTCTCATCCTAGTATACCTTTTTACATTTACAATACACTTTTTTACATTCCCAATAAGAAAAACTGGCACTAGAGCAACTTGCCCAATCAGTATCACAATATGCTCACAAATGTAATGGAGCATCAGATGGAAGAAAAGAACCTTGACCGTGAGTATTGTTTAAATAATGCAAAACTCAAATAGATGTAACGAAATGAGATTACCGTGACTGATACATGAAATGAGCTAAGTATATGAATGGCAAAGCTACTGTAGTTGTCATGCAGAGAACCACAATGGCTGGATCATCAGAGTACATACTTTGATGGCTAACAAACAATGTTGTTGTACCACTAGTTTAGAAGTGATGCTAGCGAGTAAGAGATCACACAACTTCAATATTCAGGAAATACTTGAGGGAACAAGATTTTTTTTCCATCTTCTTGTAAGAGTTCTTTCAATCATCTATTTCACCGTGGAACGGCTGTACGTGCTATTCAAGGGTTCATGTGCAATTATTATTACTCCCTCTGTCCCATAATTATTGTCCAGTTTGAGTTTTCATTTCTTGTTCAAATTGTACTAAAAGTGAAATCTTAAACTGGACAATAATTTTGAGACGGAGGGAGTATTATTTTTTCTCCAATTACCTTTTGTTTTCACAAGCTAAGACCTTAATTTCAAGGTTCAAAAGTCTCGTTCACTCTTTTCCAAAGACCATGTAGTCTATGCGCATCTTTGAATTTTGAAATAGATACTGCTTTCACACTATTATGCTATAAACAATAATAATGAGAGCCTGAGAGGGCTCTTTTGCTTTTGTCACGCTAAAAATGACGCGCAGGCTTTTCCACTCGTTTAAGTTACGACATCTATCTTTTATCGTTAAAAAATACGTGTGCAAAATTCCATAATATTGAACTGTGAACCTAGTTTGAAACTAAGTTCATTAAGTTAATAACATTTTCAAATTTCAACAGCGAGGATGTAGGGAAATAATGAGAGAAATAATCATGTATTTTGAAATCTTTGAAGAGTACTTGAACCCAAAAATAAAAGAAATAGTAATTCGCATTAATTTTGAGACGACGCATGATAGCAAATTGAGAATTGAGACCGATACATATCAGATTAACTCATAATATCACTTAACTTTTTATTTTTTTCGTCCCAAAATCAAACCCGTGTTATGGAACAAAAATAGTACAACACTCATCCGCACCAAATCTTTTGGTCGGAGTAATTTATGGTGCATGGCCGAAAGTTACACGATGATGTTTGTACTAAGGTACAATAAGCTGAATTAAACAAACAAAAAAGAAACACACAGACACACAGACACACACACTTTTGGTAGCTAGAGAATGAAGGACGCGCGAGATCATCAATAATGCAATACATAAACATTGTACTCAACCGTTGCATCACCGGATCTCAGATCGAACCAATGTGTCTTTGCCTGAGCATACCCACGAGCAAACCGGAAAAGCCCACTTCCTCCAATCACCGGCATCTCCCTAACCGTATGTAACACCGGATTCCGGCCCATCACGGTAATCGTGCTCCCGTTATACTTCCCTTCAGTTAAAGCCAGATTCATAGTCATCAAAAAACCAACCTCTTCTTGCGAAGCCGAGGCATAAATTCCTTGAGCCCTTCCAACCAATTTGGACCCCAATTCGGGACCCAAAGTTAAGGGATTGTCCATCATCCTCATCATTCCAAAACCGTTCGCCATTAACCTCGGCGGCGAAACGATTGTTACGGCAGATGGGTTCTGCCCGCTGAGGATGTCGTGCCAGTAGAACTTGAAGTGGCTGAGCTTCTCCCTTTTCATCATCCTCTGCCTCGGATTATGATCAACTGATTGGACGAACTCGGGTTCTTGTTCATCACCACTGATGTATTTTGTTGCCTGGATTTTGGTAACTGGGATTAGAGAAAAGTAGATGAAGATGGTACACATTATTATTAGTAGTTTATAAGCTGCCATGGAAGAACAATTCGGGCGATACAACAAAATGAAAGAGGTGAGAGGATTTGGGAAAATTGATGGAATATATATATATATAGGGAATATTAGTGGATATATCCCAACGTTTATACCCTGCTAGCGAATTTATCTCAAAGTTTTAAAATTATTTAATTACATCCCAAAGTTACCAAAATTGAGCAGATCCATCCCATGACATGCAAACCAACAAAAATGACCTGATATAACAAGTAAAAATTTATTGGGTTTAATCGATCAATTTTAAAATATTGAGATGAATTAGCATACTGGTATAAACGTTGGGATGTATCCACTCATTCACCCTATATATATATAGCATAATATATGTAACATTTTATTTTTTCTTGGAGTGGAGTATGGGGTGGAAACTTTTGTTGGTCGTCATCATTTTCATGGATTTTTTCCATTCTCAAAGGGGAAGAAAAGAACTAAAGAAAATGACAACTTGTGTGGTAAGTGAACTGAATTGTAGAATTCTTTTGACTAGACTAACTGAAAACACTTTTTATTTGTACAAAGAAGAAAGAGAAAGCCGAATGTCATCACTAAAGTATAACTAGCATACAACGGAGAGATAAACAATTCTTATACAAACCATAATGGAATCATGAAAATGTTGCACGCAAATGGGTTATGTAGTCGTGTCTAGCCTATAACGCATAATCTTAAACTACTAACTAATGAAAAGCAGATGAAGTTTGTGGAAATTGTGATTTATTAGTTGTAAAGTGTACTATTTAATTCAATAAGGTGGAATTTTCTTTCCCTGGCCAGAAAAAAAAGTATTACATGATTAGCTTTGCAGTACAACATTTTGCTTTGTACTTAGGCAAATTTGTTCTAGATGTATATGTTGGTTTGGATTAATAGCTATAATTAAGGGGTGATAATTCTTTTTATAAAATGGAAAATCCCAATCGTTTTCCTCTTCAGTGTCATCAATTCAATTAGGCTTGAATTATTCATTTTCTTTTTTTTTTTACGGTCTAAAAATGTCGTCATAAAGAAATTAAATATCAATTCCCTAGTGCATTAATTTGTTTTAAACTTTTTTTTTTATTTATTTACTACGAGTACCTAAAACCTGCATGTCGACTCAAACTTTTTTTTTTTAAAAAAAAATTATCAACTTATTTAGCTTTTCGGTTAATTAAGCAACAAGTTATCCTGCCCAACTGAATACTCAATACACTACTGATTGCTTTTCTTAGACCTCAAACTTACATTATACCTACTCCTACAAACCAGATACATATAGATCATAGATATTATTTTTGTTGACTCTTTTTTTTTTTTTTGCCCCTTGTGAAAAACTACAACCCGTTTTTTATTTCCTATACTCACTATATATACTTGAAACAGACAAATATCTGCAACTTCTGACTAGTTTTTTTTTTTTTCCCCTCAGTTTCCGGAAGATGAGAGTTCTGTTCTGAGTTTGGTTTCTTGTTGGAAGCATAAAGCGTCTAAACTCAGAAATTGCAGATTAGGATGAGTAGGGAAACCAACTAGTTTAGACTAGATGATTACCAATAAATAAATAATAGTTTTAAGATTCCTCTAATGTGGAAGTGTTAAATTTAAACTCCTCTAAATAATGTTAGGTCCCCCTTTCCTCAATACTTTTTGGACATTCTGTTTAATCATTAATCAGGTGTGCAATGCACACAATTACACATAACATGCACCCTTGAAGTCTCATTTCAATTTGAGTGTTATTATATAAATATAATTGTGATTAATGAATATACTTAAGGGGAAAAAAATGGCAAAGAGATCAAGTTGGGAAGATAACACGCCCGTTAAGTAAGAAAGATATCATAGCCCGTTTGTTTTTGTTATTAATTTTTCTGGTATATGTATAATACTTACTCAATTGATATTTCTGTATGGTGTACGTACCATATTTTCTCGGGATCAAGAGGACGGAGGCTACGAACTAGGAATATTGCTAATTGATTTCTAAGGGCCCCGACCCCATTTGTAGCGATCAATCAATCCTATATTTAGGCCTCACGATCACTCATGGGCTTTCAAAGGCCTCGTTATGAATGATAGAAACAATAATCAAATCTACTCCACAAAGCATTATAAATACCAAAAAAAAAAAAAAAGAAGAAGAAGAAGAAAGAAATGTGGAGAAGTATATGGAATTCTTCTTCTTCAAGCCTTTGGTACTGGCTCTTAGATGTGTTGCTCTATTTGCATTATATATGTAGAGATCTTATGTGAGAAACAAAGTATTTTTCATCATTATAGTAGTTATGTGAGAAATTAAGCAGACCGATCGAATTTGATAATGCGTACTCCATTTTTTACTTCTTCGTCGACTTTCTTTTCCTAGAAACTTTCTTTGTGGTGTAGTAAATTTTCACATTAATATTTCATGAATGATTTGAGAACTGAAGGAGATCAATTTTGATATTAGGTACTCTATTTTCTACTTCTTCGTCGACGTCCTTTATATCCTGACCAACAACTTGATGTTGTCTGAATCTGAAAACCCATTAAAAAAAAAAAGCCATTAAAGAATCCGAAAATGATATATCCATATTTAAAATAAATAGTAAAATGGAATATGATCGATGTGGCATTTATGAAAATACAAAATTATTCCTTATTGTTTTGGTAGTTATTAAAAGAGTGGCATGGTGTTTGTGTATTTTCATAAGTCACTATCACATTTCACTGTGTCGTGTGTATAGTCAGTGTCACTATCATTGTTCTAGTAAATTGTTGTTTTAATATTTCATGAATGATGTGAGGACTAAAACAGACTCAATTTGATATCATGCACTCTATTTCGTATTTCTTTATCAGTTTTTTTTTTTTTAACTAAACTAAAACTTATATGCAATCCAAAAATCTATTGAAAGATTTAACCACTAAATTATTTAATGTTGATTTGATATAATTTTTTCATTTATTTTAAAAATCATAAAATGTTTAAATGTTTTGAAACTATTTCCGTCAACCTTTTCGCCGACTAACCAAAGTCAATGTAAAGGTCAACGAATGCTTAAGTTCTTTTTTTTTTTTGGCGGGAGGGGGTTGGGGAAATTGCGTCGTAATATAGTAAATTTTTTGCTTCAAATATTCCATGGATGATGCGAGTATTGAAACATACAAAATTTGATATCGTTTACTCTATTTTGTGCTTCTTCATCAACTTTTAAAAACCTGACTAACAACTAAATGTGATAAAAAATAAATAAAAAAAATCTGTTGTACACTTCAACCACGGAACGTTTGGACATTGAACTTTGATTTTATTTTTTTTCCTGATTTATTGGTGTCGATCAAAGCGTTAAAATATTTAAAATTTTGAAAATTATATTTGTAGACTTTTTCGTCAACTTAGCAAAATCGACTTCAAAGTTGACGAACTTTAAATTGCATTTTTTTTTTTTTTGTGGTAGAGTGAATTTTTGCTTTAATATTCCACGAATGATGTAAGAAAAGAAGTAGAACAATTTTTCTATAATGCACTCTATTTTTTGTAATTCTTTATCGCCTTTTATATCCTATACGTAACAACTAGAAGCGATACAAAAATCTATTGTAAACTTTAACCATTTAAAGTTTTGACATTTAATTTTGATTTATAATATTTTTTTATTTAATGTTATCAATCAAGAAGTTAAACTGTTGATATTTTGGAATAATTTTATTTGCGACAAAGTCGTGGATTTAGAAAACTCGATGACAAAATTGACGAACACTAAATTGCATTTTTTGTAACCTTTTTGTGGTATTGTGAATTTTCTTTTTAATATTGCATGAATGATTTAAGAATTGAAGCGGAAAGATTTTGATATTCAGGATCCACTTTGTACTTCTTCATCGGCTTTTATATCCTAATTACAACTAGATATGATACAGAAATTCATTGTAAAGTTTAACCATCGAATGTTTTGAAATTTAATTTTGATTTTAAGATACTTTTTTATTTACTAGTATGTGTCATGTGCGTTGCACGGTGGGTTTTAGATATTATTATGATAATCAAATTATAATGACATTAATCATCCTTAAAAGTTTTAATATAAATAGTTGATGTGTATTATTAAAGATCTTATACAAAAAAAAAAAAAACTCGTATAGATTCAAGCAAACACACAATAGTTTAATTTAATACTCTTTTCATCCTAAAAATAATTTAATTTCATATTGCTGCTTTAATTCAAACAGTAAACTATTTTTGTCATCATATGATGACACAAAAGTGATGATATTTAAAGTAATATTATGTTGCATATATACTTTGTTGTTTGAATGAATATTATATTCTTCCTCTAATAGGAGAAAGGAGATGTTGTTTTTGGCATCTAATGGAATAATAAGGACTCGGATTCTCAAGAAAGATACCTATTTTTTAGTTTGAAGGATAACTATTCTCTTTATTTCATAGTGGGAGGAAAAAAAAATATTAATACTTTTGTTCTAAAACGAAAAACAAAAAACAAAAAACAAAAATTAGATAATCATTTTAAGATAAAAAGAATATCAAGTATTTGATCGATATAGAAAATTACTAACATAGCTTAATGTATTAAGTATGAACCCAATAATCCAGTATCATCTTTATTTTAAAGAACTCAAAGATGTTGACTAATTTACAAAATGGAATGACAACTCATGACAAATCCCAAACAAAGAAATCAATCCAAATCGGGTACAAATTGTAATCCATGAAAAAAAAGATAGTTAAACCAAATTGCCTATCTATCAAAAAAACAAATAAAATAAAATAGAATGATACCATCACATCGTTCCAAACTTCAAATTATCAAATATAATCATAACATATTTATATAATTTATAGTCATTAATTCATTATCAAAAGGATAACATATGCGGCACAATTGCACAACTAATGTCCATGAAAATGTACAATTGATGGACTTGAAGAACTAAGTAGCAAATTAATAAAACTTAAAGGGTCGAATTGACAACTATTTGAAAGTTTAAAATTTTACGTGCAAAGGCTTCTGAATGTGGGGGCTTTTTAACAATTTTTAAAACTTATCATCTTCAACCTCCCGTAAAGGAGTTCGTCAGCCAA